TCACCCCCACCCCCACCACCGAATCCACCGCCACCTCCTCCGAAACTACCACCGTGGCTTAGCTCAAGGTGATGACCTCCACCGCCACCACCTCCGAAACCACCACCATGGCTTAGTTCTAGGTGGCCTCCACCGCCACCACCTCCGAAATCGTGACCACCGCCGCCACCTCCGAAATCATGACCGCCGCCGCCGCCGCCTCCGAAATCATGACCACCTCCGTCGTGACCCCCAATGGCAATAGGATGGCCATAGGTGTATCCGAGTACTTCATAACTGTCCCCGCCGCCGCCGCCGCCGTGGTGTATGTGTTTCGTGATCGTGTGAGTGTGGTGGATGGTCTTGACCTTGTACGGCACGTGGATTACTACGTGGCTGCTATAAGAAGGACGTGGGCAGTATTAAAGTTTCTGATTGGCTTTGAAGGATGGAAACTGTACGATTAATTTTATCGTTGCGGTATAAGATTATATTTAAATAATGTTCTACTTTCTAACATTTCTGCGATATACTGAGCTTGATTTAAACTTACTGTCCACCGTGCCCACCGGCGTTGGCTAAGTTAAATAGTGCGATGACTGAGAGAAGAGTTAACTGAAAAAAATATTGTTTAACAAAGACTGTTAATAAACTTATACATACAGCATCAATTCTATCTCATTTTAACTATATTACTATCAAAAGGTAGAAAGTAGACTGTTTGCAAAAGTCGATTAGTGGTAAAAAATATGTCGCTTCCTTATTTCAAAAGTAATTTTTTAAAAATGTAATTTTACTATCATGAATGAGTTAAGTAAACGTTACCTTATCAATCAAAAGTTAATTATCTCATTTTCATAAAAAAATCACAAAGGGTGTTTATTATCTTTTGTTAACAGACGCGCCTATTTAAATAAATATATTACTTATTTTGTAAAATGTGTGCTCGATTATTACAAAACTTGGGCTATAGAATAATTTGATAAGGCTTTATTGGAATCTGACGTCAAAAATAAAAAAAAGAAAATAGTAGATCCAATATGATGGTCATAACAATCTTTTAAATAATTTGATCATCATAAAACATGTTTTAGAAAATTTTTAATTGAAAAATAATATCAAGTTTCACTTCATTTGAAAGTCATCAATCTACAAACAGTTAATACTAATTTCTAAATTGATTTTTAAACTCTGATTATGAGTTTTGTGACATTAGATTTTTTTTCATCGACTTCATTGAAAATATTTACTATCCTGTTGAAATTCAACATTTTTATATAGACATTCAACGAAACTTTCTAAAACCGAGTTTCACAATAAAATTATTTTTTGAAATTTAAATTTTACAATTCTGAGAAAATTAATAAAAAATAACGTCTTCTTTAAGTTTCATTCATAGAAAGCTCTTTTCCTCAAAGAATTAAGTGTTGTAAAACAAAAATGGTAAAAATTTGATAAAAAAATATATTCTTTTTTTTAATGATATTAATTGATTAGTCATTTTCATAATTTTCTGTCAAAATGAAAAATAGTTTTTCTCCTTTTCTAAATAAAGGAAACTTAATTCTTTTTAGCCGTATTACTTTTGAACTACAAGAAGATACTGTAAGAACAATACCTTTATAACAAATTAATTGAAAATATCTTTATATATATGTATATATATGTAATATAAAATAATATAATAATTTAACTCTACAATTTCGAACAACGCGCGATTAACTTATCACATAAGCTATATCGAGCAATAATTAGAAAATCAAAATAAACCAAAATTGAATAAAAATATAATGGTAAACACATAAAAAAATTATATATTTCTGAAAATGTTACCTTTTTATATTAAAGACGTTTAAAAGCCGAATTTCATTTATAATTTTTTAAATTACAAATCACAAATCACAAGCTAATACTTCTTACATTGTTTTCCTTGTTTAAACGTAGACATAATGATCCTTTCGATTAAATCCGAAAATATGAATAATCACTGGCTGTTTCACTTCCATTGCGGTCAAAAATGCGGTAAACGCATCGTAATTTGTGAGACTTACCAAGAAGCCTGGTATTATTTCTCGTCGTCCTATCATTGTTCCGTTTTCGGATAGGACTACCGAGAAAAATATCACTTCCGTCACAATGAGGCGACAAAAGTGAAGCGCAAGCTATGAATAACCGGGGAAACACAATAACGCGAGTTACTCCTCCGCTCGGTCTCGATCTGACGACCATCGCGAATACGCGTTCCGCTTATATATATACGCACGTGATATAGAAGTCGGATAAGAATGAAAGGGAGTATTTTGCTACCCGTATGCGCTGCACTCGTGAAAGGAGTCGCCTAATAGCCTTCTCATAGCAAAAAGTCACCCGATCGCGGCGTAACAGAGGGGGACAAGCGCCTGTGGCTTTGCCTTCCTCCCTCGCTACGCTCACCGCTTTTGTATATTCCTGTTTCCTAGTTCTCGATTAAATCTGTAACGATGGGCCGTTCCTTTTCCTAACGAAAGGCAGATGCCAAAAGTGAACGTTCAAGATCAAGATCGCGATTGTGCCTCGCAAGCGGACGGATGCGTCTTCGTTCGTTTCACTAATCTACGTGTCCTCACGCGAGAGGAAGAATAATCGTGCTACGTGATCCTTTCGTCCTGATTGAAAGGTGTATCCTTCCTGATTCAAAAGAGATGTTTCTCTTATTATCTATTCGTATTATTTTGTATCAAGCAATCTTATTGCTTATCATTATTCTATTTGTATTCCGTACGTGAAGACGTCTGAATGTATTGAGGTTATCTTAATTTTAGCATAAGAACTTGTTATAAAATTGCAAATATTTAAATAATTGTACTATATACATATCCATATTCTGTATTATATATTTTAAAATGACATTACTTCCTTGCTTCAGGAGTGACATAACTAAAAAGATTAAATTTTCTGGAAAAAAAAGGAAAATGTATTTTTCAACAGAAAATTATTAACTGATTAAATAACATTGTGGTAAAAAGAACAGTATCGCTGCGCTTGCCTTAGCACCGTGTCTCCAAATATTCTTTATAGATATAAACTATAAAATATTATTTTTTTATTACTTTTATTTCATAACTCTTAAAAACAGTTTCTTTTTTTAGTAATGTTTACTTAACTCATGACAATAACATAAAAATCATATTTTAAATTTTGTCATCTTTTGAGGTAAGAGAGCGATGTATTATATAACAGTATTCGACTGTTTTCATGTTGTGTCATTTTCAAGCGCAGATTCCGCTTTGTTAATTGTGCTAGTATAATTTTGTTTTTAATGTTAACTTTGTGATCAATTATTATCATTATTATTAGGTATGAAAAAGAAGCAATTCTGAATATTTTGAATACAAATTCAAACTAGATTTTAGAACAGCAGAAATGAGTTGAAGAATTAATGAGAGAAACATTCGACTAGTAAACTACAAACGTACAAACAGTATAATGATGGTTTCAAAAATTTTATAATGGAGGTGACAGTCTTGAAAATGAAAAGGATTGGGGATAGTCTGCAATCATTAATCGATTTTGAAAATAATTATTGAAGCGGATCTATTGAAAACCAGAGATTGCACAGCAATTAATCAATTAACAATTTTTGATCAGTTAATTGTTTGTCATTTTAATCAAATCAGAAAAGTAAAAAAGCGATAATATTTTTGCCTCAATCTAATACATCTTTGGAAATTCTGCAACAATCATAGCCTTCCAACCAGCAATTTCGTTCTCTCTTATCTATCATTCTTAGGGTCTCAACTAACTCATATAATTCACATATTTTTTAACTTAATTCTTAATTTTTAGTCATCTAATGTTACTGCGTATGTTTAAATATCTAAAGATGGCATAATCATAATGTGCCAAAATATGTAATATAACTTACAATTCTGATTTTAAGAATGCAATATTATATACGTTTTGTATTCCATATATTAAATTCTTCAAATTTGACTCTTGTATGCCCTTCACTTTCTTTATAATATTAATTTACAAAGTATTTACAAAATATCTTTTATATCTATGTTTGCAAATAATATGTTTTCTATTTTTCCTAATTATATTTTTTAAAAGAAACAAAGATATTAAAATTTATTTATTTAAATGTGATTAATATTTATATGGAAAAGTTAAATGTAGATGGATAAGATAGTAACTCTATATGTAGATTTCTGTCGCATTCTATTTGAAAGTTCAGCAATTGCTGCCATCTATCAGCAAACTACTAATGCTGACGCATATTTATAATGTTATAATTTTATACAAAAACTATAAATATTAGATATTATCGTATATTTTTAATTATGATGTGTCTCAAAATTACATTAGTACCTTGTAGTATATTGTATAACATCGCGTTTAGGAATTTTTTAATTATACGATCTTAAAAATATTTGTATCTATAATTGTCTAATATTTGTAATCGTTAGTCAATATTTATCAGAGCATTTAAAACTATTATAAATATTATAATTATCACATAAATATTAATCAGACCAGTTATAATTATCATGAATACATTATGCTATATCTATAAATTTTAATGATAATCAGACTCAATGTAAGCATGTTACAAAAGCGAGCAAAATTTAAAGCGAGCAAAGATGAGTATTTTCGTAAAATTTGCATAATACGAAGATATACAAATTAATATCTCTGTATAATTATATTTTTATTGAAACTTAATTAACGAAATAATGTTATATTTGATTTACAAATTGCAAGTTTATTATTAAATATAAATTCATGTAAAAGTTATAATAGCGTTATTTGAAAACACGCTAAATAAAAAATACGTTAAAGAATTCTTTTACTTTTCCGATTTAATATTTACTTTTTTATTTATTTTTTATATTACAATATTATATTGTAAATTTCTTAAATTTAATTTTAATAGTGTGTAAATTACTAATAGAAAGTCTTATTAAATTTTAAAATCAGATGGTTTTTAATTGGAAGAAGGATTTATAATTAGTGTGTGGCTATAGTAATATTTATATAACTACGTGAATTTAAAAGTTACTAATACGACGATATTCATGTGTAATATTAAAGTACGACTTAATAACAAAATGAATTAAATATTAAGGGTAAAAATCGGATTTGAAATTATAAAGTTACATACCGAGTTACTTTTACTGACTTCTCTTTTAAATGCTATAGATGATTTACTAGCGACTTGTTCACTCCCATACTTTCTCTGACGCGGGACTTCTTAATTTACTTTTTTATATTAGCTGTTCTCACTAGTTCTTATTATTATTAAAATGCTTAAAAAATGTCACTGACTTTCTATAATGAATAGAAACTGTACTTAACGTATAATAATGTGTTACAAGGAGTGTGTTATTTCGTAATAATACATACGTATTTTAGCAAAACGAAGAAGATAAATTTTGAAATGTAATTAAAAAAACAATAGAACTTTTTTTAAGATTTACATAAATTCTGAAAGAACTTCTAAAGGACATTTTGAAATAATTTCAGAAAAAATTAGTTATCTCTTCAAATATATTCTTTCCGAAACGCATTATCTATAGTCAATTATAAATTCTATTCTATATTTATGTAAATTAAAAAAAAAAAATATTGAAATACATATTTTAATAGTTCAGAAGAAATAGGCGTATTGTCCTGTATATTTATACGTTTGGAAGCAGCATTGGAAACGTGCGCTGTCGATCGCTGGTAAATTACGGAAGCGAGAGGGAATCGTTTCCCCTTCCTGAAGAAGCGCGCCGAGCGAAGCTGATAATGCGGAGGCGCATAAACCTGCGAGGCGATGACCGGGGCCCGCTCACTCGCTGAGCGTTCACCTTCGCAAAATGCGCTCACAAGAGAAAGGGAAACCGATCTCGGTGTGTCTCGCGTAAAACATGCGCAAGAGCAAATTATACGTGAATGCCGTGCCGCGGGAGACGTCGCGTTGCGCCGCGTTGCGCCGCGTTGCGCCGCGTTGCGCCGCGTTGCGCCGCGTTGCGCCGGTGCCCGAGCGAGAAAACAAAAACGAGTAACACGCGATACGGATTATCCTTTTCCTTACAGCTCGCGAGACCGTGACAGTGAACTCTCTACTGGAGGAATCCAATCCGACCAGGATCGGAGTGAATGTACACGGTGTTACGTTTCAGAACGTCGGCATTGTAGTGTCGTCCTAGGAAAATACGGATAGGATGCTCCGACGAATATCAAATAGCACGTTTCGGAGCTGGACTGGTTTCACGACAATCACACCGTTAGTTGTGTGCACTAGACAGTGTGATCAGTTAACTTCGACCATAATTGAGATTTAAAAAAAACTACAAAGAAACAAAATATCAATAAAAAGGCTAACAGATGATTAACGGTGAAACTAATACTGAATATTTTAGAAATCGGAAAAATAACTGTATACCACCGACAAAAATAAACGAAAAGATATAGGATAAAAGAAATTTCAAAAAAGATAAAAGGAGCTACGAGTCAAGTCAAGCTCGGTTTAATTTATAGTCTCTTGTGTTTAAAAAAATTTCTTTTTTAATTTTTGAGCCTTTCTTATTATATTATTTAATTTGAAAAATTTTTAGTCATTTTTTCTATTAATAGCAATTTGTTTGTATGATTTATATATAAGATCGTAATTACTATCAAGCGATGCAGTAACGCCAGTATATATAGAAAGATATAAAATAGGATCACACACACAAACGAGCCATGAACTTTACTACACATCGATCGTGTGACGTAAATGAATGCATCCAGAAGCGAGGACCGCTCACTGAGCAAGAAAGGAATTATATGTTTATTTATTATAATATTCGTAATGTATAATAACTTATCTATTATGAATAAGCTTTAATATTATATTTCTCTCGGCCTTCGTTCATGAGGCCTTCTTTGTAGTTATAAAATCGCGTTATTTTTTATCAATATAATTAAAGACATTAAAAAATTTTATATGTTATCAAAATTAATCATTTTCTTTAATAAATTTCTTTAACTTCTCGCACATCATACTGATTTGAAGTATCAGTTAAAAGAGACAAGAGAGTACAGAATACTTTACAGAACTTGCGTATATTCATTGAATAATGCAACGC